GTGCCTGAAAACTCTGTGCAGATTATTTTTAAAGCTTTCCAAGAAGTAGCTGTGAAGAGAACCTGAACCAAGCAGAGGTGGGGGTATGAATCATGCAGGGAAGGGGCTGAGGGTTGCAGCGTGTCACAACAAGCTTCTTGAGCAAGAGCAATGACACCTGTTCTGTGCTGTGGCTGTCAGGGATCTCATGCAATGAAAAAAAAAGTGTTGAAAAGATATTTGGTGGGCTAGAAGAGGAGCATGGATGTTGCACGTCTTCTCTTACATGATACACTTTATCAAGGTTGTTTTTAGAATAAACTTTCTTGCCTCCACATATGTCCATGATGATGATGAAGATGAATGGTTGCCACTGCACACTTTGCCTATTTAAGTGCTAAAAGATCTGAATGACCATAATGTTATCTTATCAATGGCAAGTAAAGCAGGCTTAGGTAAAAGGCTATTTGTGGCAAGTTATTTAGGTCTATAATTTCTGACACCTATGCAGCCTTCCAGGATAAGTAGAGGAGTATTTATGGCAAAACTGTACAAGACATGTGATAGGAGGTTAGTTTTTACACAATAACTTTAAACTATCTCCCAGGATTTGAACAATAATGCCTCAAGGCAAACTTTTAAGGAATATTTTAATAAGTGCAGGGAAAAAACAAAAGCTAAGTTATACTTTTATTTAAAGTTATAGTAAGAGTCAAGAGTTTCTTTATTGTCATTCGCACCTCATGTGGAACATGTGGTGGAGCGAAATTATGTACACAGGGTCCCAGTGACATCCAGCAAAAAATGTAAAAGAAAAACAGTAATAACATCTAAGATATGGCTAAGAAAAACCAACTAAATATACACTAAACACTCATAACATAAAACATTACGTTGAACATCAGCACAAACATGAACATGAGTCCATGTGAGCAGATGAGCACACATGAACAAATCAACATTGAAACAGATCAGCAGCAACATGCAACAGATCAGCAGCAACACTGAAACTGATCAGCAGCAACACTGAAACAGATCAGCAGCAACACTGAAACCGATCAGCAGCAACACTGAAACAGATCAGCAGCAACATGATGTGATTTTTTACACAGTGATTATCCTGGTTAGAGATTCATGAGTCTAACAGCCTCAGGGTAGAAGCTGTTTCTCGGTCTAGTGGTTCTACACTTAATGCTCCTTAACCTCCTTCCTGAGGGGAGTGGGACAAAAAGTGTGTGCTGGGTGAGTGGGGTCCTTCATGATGCAGGCGACCCTCTTCCTTCATCTGGAGGTGTAGATGGTGATGGTGGGGAGACTGACTCCGACAGACTTCTGTGCAGCCTTCACCACTCTCTGCAAGGCTTTTCTTTCTGCAGCTGTGCAGCCTCCATGCCACACGTTGATGCTGGAGCACAGGATACTCTCCACTGCACACCTGTAGAAGGAGGTGAGGACTGAGCTTCCCAGACCAGCTCGTCTCAGCCGTCTGAGGAAGTAGAGTCTCTGATGAGCTTTCTTGATCAGGCTGGTGGTGTTGTTGCTCCAGCTGAGGTTGTCATTCATGTGTACACCCAAGTACTTGTAGCTGGAGACCACTTACACAGCAGATCCTCTTATGTTCAGGGGGGTGTAGGTGTTTTTGTTCCTTCTGAAGTCCACAATCATCTCCTTTGTCTTCTTCACATTGATGTGAAGGTTATTCTCTCTGCACCAGCTCTCCAGGTGTTCCACCTCCTGCCTGTAGCTGGACTCATCATTGTTTGTGATGCATCCCACCACCGCTGTATCATCTGCAAACTTTACAATGTGACAGCCTGGATGGGTAGCTGCACAGTATATTATAGCGTGTAATAACAGTTATTTTGAAGTATTAACACCACGTGGAAGAATAATATTATTGGTATTAATATAAGTTGATGAGGAAACAAATTCAGGGTACATCAAGAAATCATAAAAATAGAAGCTTGCTTATTATATAAAACAAAAACGAGAATAAAACAAAGAAATTTCTGAAGAACAAATATCTGAGAAATTTGATAGGATGGGGTCAGACCATCAACAGCCTTAAGCTTTTATATGAAGAATTACAATATGCTATACAAACTGTAATAAAAGTATGCATAACTTTTTCAAAACCTTAAAAATAGGAGTTTGACTTTATTTTAGCCAAAAGTTGTAAATAAAAGACTGCTGTGTTAACAAGTGAATTGTTTAAAATTTTTTTGAACGAGTTGTCCGAAAATTACACCGCACCTTTTAATGAAAGATTGTTCAATTGATTGTTAAAGAATTAAAGATTAAAGAAAAGTCCCAAGATCACTTTAAGGATTATCCCAAATAAAATTACATAAATGTTTTCATTAAATTGAAGGAAGTTTGAACTCGGGTCTTGATGGTACAGTTCAGTCAAAACTTTTAAAAATTACTGGTTTAAATTTTTTATGAGTGAATCCATCTAAATATTATCTGTACAGTAATGGATCAACATGTATTTTTCAAAAATACACTGTAGAAGAAACTTGTATTTAGAAAACAGGAAAGGGTCCAGATTATGACCTTGAGGAACACCACAAGCAGTGCTGCAGATTGACAAGCTCTTATTTTACAAATAAGATATAAACCACAATAATATTTTATTGCATACACTCGTTTTTCAATCTAAGAGGAGCATGGACTTTGTTGTAATCTAAGAGGAGGATTTGCAGAGTCAAAAAGTCTGCAATAAAAAAACAAGATGGTTGCAATATTGACCATTAAATATTGATAATTGTTTACTGACTTTTTAATCTCAACATTTACTAAGGATTAAAACTGTATTCAGATTTTTGCCGTGTGAGGACATTTGTCAAGCATTTTCTTGTTTCAGCCCCATCTCTGTCTAAAAGAAGTGATTCATTGCTTCTTTATGTGTCTCACCTGCTGAGAGTTTCTATTTTTATTCACACAATTGCCCTCAGGTGTGGAGGGTCAGAAAACCAGCCGCCGGCTATTTCTGATAACCTGAGAAGTAAATGCTTTGCTTCTTCTCACTCATGCCATTGGATTGTAAAAACAAACCAGTTAGTTCAGTTCCAGTATGTTTTGTTAGGTCATGTTTTTGTTGTTTTTTTCCCCAGCACATGTTCATTGACGCTGCCGTTGTCACGTATCATGCCAGCTTTACACACAGTCTCAATTTGTTTCAGTCTGGACTCCGGCTTTACTGTAGCACCTCGTACTTTGTTAATGTAAACTATAATAAACTATTGCCCCAGATTCTTTGACAATGTATTGGATTTATTCTGGAAAGTTCTGAAACAAATTTTATTCTTATGCATGGGACGAGAAAGAAACACAAAAAGCACTGAAACTGTTCAATATAAGATTATTTTTAATAAATGATTGTTATGAAAGAAGCAGCTACACCATAAAAACACTATTCCCTGATTATATATATTTTTGGATGTACTAAAACACTTCGCCTGTCCATTATGATGACCATATCAAGACCAATAACCTAAGACCTCTGTGTACTGGATGGATGTATTCTAAACCCAAACAACAGGTTTTTCCCCATTTAATGTTTTTTGTTCTTTCCCAGAAGGTTTGCTGCAAAGTTACAACTCTGGATTGCCCCATAAACAAACATGTAGACTGCTCGCATAAATGTGGTGTGCATGTTTTGTCCTGTTTTTCATTTAGACAACAAGAACTCCTCTGTCCTAAAAGAAGGGCATGCAACCAATTGTTGTGCAAGACAGGAAAATGTGACGCATCTGCTGATGTGTAGTAAATTCATTCAGGATCACAAATAATCTCTAAAACAAAGCTTTCTTGTTTCTGTACTATAGCAAAAGAATAAATAAATAATTAAAAAAAACAACTATGCTTACTTTAAAAACTAAATGGTATTTTTGTAATAAAAATTCCTGCTTTGCAAAGTTCAAGTTGCTGTCCTTTCTTGAAACAGCAACGATAGAGAACTGCCTTCTTGCGATGCACGTCCTGTAGAAAACTATGTTTTACTTCCAGTTCTTTGCAATTTATATTTGTTGGATGCCTTTGCTGACACAACCCTCACCATTTAGCCGGGCTTGGCACCGGCACAAGAGATACACTGGCTTGTGCTCCCTGGTGGTTGTTTTGTTTCCTTAATTATCAATAACAGATCCAAATAAAGCACTCACGATACACTAAAGAACCAAAACATATATATAAATAAATAAGTGCATTCAAACTTGTAAATATATCAACATACTAATCTTTATAAAGAGCCAGCATGTAAAGAAATGATCTCAGATGACTCCCTGCTGGCTGCTCTTCATAACCCTCACCAACATATTCTGACATTTACAAAGACCATAAAACACAAAGACAGTCGAGTCAAAAAGTCAAACGAGTGTTTATGGGAGGGAGGCTGCAGGGAGTGGTATTTCCTCAAGTGGCAACAATCTATTAAACCTCCTGAAGTCTGTTGTTCCTTTCGCTGCCCTCTTTCCACGAGCAAAGCATGACCCAGTTAAGAGTCTGAAAGGAATGTCAGGAGCCCCGAGGCTCTGGGCGGCACTCACCCAGCCAGAGAGGCAGGCGGCAGCTTATGTAACAAGAGTCATGTGAGGGCCTTTGTGTACACTAAAGGAACTCGGGTTACTTCAGGTAATGCAACTTTGCAAATAAAAGCATATTATGTAACTTCTAACACCCGCAAAAACCACAAACCTGAATGCCTGGGTCGATGGCTTATGAGTGCCACAAACACAGATACAAACACGCAAAGACATGTCCACATGTAACCACAACTGTTTGAAAAGATGAAATAATTTTATGGCAAACCGTGGCTCGTAACAGTTCACAATATGAGAATGATACACTGACAGATGTGCACAACAGCCTTTTGTTGAGATTCTACTCATGGCTCACTAATGGGAATGTTTTCAATGCAACCCATTTCAACAGTAATCTAAACAAGAGAGGATATACATTCACACAAACACTGAGCTGAAGTGTTTGGGGAGTGTAGAAACCCTGCAACATTCACTTACCTGGATGACTGTGTTTCCACCCTCCAGCAGTGCAATGGCTAACAGTATGCTCTCCTGGAAGATCCGATCACTGGTGGCGTTCATGATCAGGTCTATGACGAGATCAGAGGCTCCTTCTTTATCAAGGTGGCATTGGACCTCGGCCAAACTCAACTCCCCGCGACCTCCAATCCCAGAGCTGACAACTGTGGGTCACAAAAGTGAAACAGATTATCTTCCATATCTATACATATTATATATATATCTTCCAGAAAGTTTTAAGAAAGGAACGAAGACTTTTATTTAAAAGATTTTATTGCATTTAAATATATTTTTAATCCTGCAGTTTTTGTGTGTGCTTTAGCTTTTAAAATTTTTAGTCCTTTTTTACTCCATGTTTTGTTCTCTCTAGATATTTTACATTGTAGCACTTTTAGATTGTAAAATGTAAAGTGCAGTACAAATTGAATAAATTATTTTTATTATGATTCCATAATATTTCACACTTGGGACAGCTTGATGGGTGCTCTTTATGGGTGCTCTTTAAAGTTTTTTTGTTTGTTTGTTTTTAAAGGAAGAGAAATATGGTAAATAAGTTGAGTTTTTCTAATTCACAATTCTGCTAACTTGACAAACAGAGTAACCAAAGAAATGTCATAAAGAAACAAGTGATTGCTGCCTCTGACATTTGCTTGTCTGTGGAAGCAGAGTGACTGATCCTGGAGAGTGGAGGGGGTAATTCTATCCACTGCCAAGTGCAATGGTGGTGCCAGGGGGTGGCCTAAGGTGGCCTTTGACCACGTCAATCATTTGAGGAAACTATACTTTTAAGCAATATAAAAACTAAAAGGCATTCATGTGAGTTTGTGCAAGTTAGTTCACTGTGGTGACCCCTGAAGAAGGGAGCAGCTGAAAAAGACAAAAAACAAACAAAAAACAAAAACTAGAAAGCATTGTTTCCACAAATGACTGGGGTGGCCACAGGTTTACATAAATATGGTGGTGGCAATCTTGGATTTTGGTGTGGCAACCCAGTTTTCTATGGTGACCTTTCTCATGTCGAAGTGCAGCCACATACCAAAATGGAAGTCAGCACATTGCTCATTTCTCAAGGTATCTAACTCACAAGGTTTACATATATATATATATATATATATATATATATATATAAATGGCAGTGGCCATCTTGGATTGTAACGCCTGCAATAAGCTGATAAAATACAACACAAATAAAGACAGGACTTGTGTCTTTAATCCATGGAGGTACTTTCATTTCTTTCACTGCTGCCAGTGACCACATGCAGTCAGGGAGGGGTTTGGTGACATAACGACACCCATCAGAGCCATCTCTGACTGGGCAAGCAACTGAATCAACAACACATCCCATTTTACACAGAGCTTGGAACGCCGGTCGCCTGGCAACAACACGGGCCATGTTGGGCCAAGCAGAGGGTCAGCACGCTCAGTGGCATAGCCACAAGGAAAGAAAGGGCTGAAAGGAGTGCAAGGTCACCAGTGAGGATTGTGTCTTGTGCTTTCATCCTTTCTTAAGCATCTTAGTTGAAATGATGAGTCATGACATGAATATGATCATTTATGTTGTCCGTCTAAAACAGGTCTCTCTTGAAAACGAGTCCCCATGACTCAATGAGACTAGCATGCTTAAATAAAGGTCGAATCAATGAATGTCATATATAGATGAAGAACAAGGTAACTGGAATAACTGATTACCAAAAGTCACTTAAGCTATTAAACTTCCTAAATCCACTGGGAATAAAACAGCTGAAATGCTGCTTTGATGCTTAAATATTTACTATTGAATTTACAATTATAATTTACTAATTATTTAGCTTTATGCGGCACGGTGGCGCAGTTGGTAGAGCTGTTGCATCTCAGCGAGCAGGTCCTTCCTTGGTTCAAATCCTGGTCCAGGGGCCTTTCTGGGTGGAGTTTGCATGTTCTCTCTGTGCATGCGTGGGTTTTCTCCATGTACTCCAGTTTCCTCTCACAGACCAAAAACATGTATGTTAGACTGATTGGTAACTCTAAATTGTCCATAGGTGTGAGAGAGTGAATGGTTGTTTGTCTCTATGCGTCCCTGTCATGGACTTGCGACCCGTCCAGGGTGTACCCCGCCCCGCGCACAGTGATTGCTGGACATGGGCACCGGCAACCCCCCGTGACCCAAAATGGAAGAAGCAGGTAAAAGATAATGGATGGGTGGATTGATGGAATTTACAATTACAATTACAATTTACTAATTATTTAGCTTTATGCGGCACGGTGGCGCAGTTGGTAGAGCTGTTGCCTCTCAGCGAGAAGGTCACTGGATCGAATTTTGGCCTAGGCTTTTCTGGGTGGATTTTGCATGTTCTCTCCGTGCATGCGTGGGTTTTCGCCAGGTACTCCCGTTTCCTCCCACATACCAAAAACATGCATGTTAGGCTGATTGGTAACTCTAAATTGTCCCTAGGTGAGTGAGAGAGTGAGTGGTTGCTTTTCTTGTTTGTCTCCATGTGTCCCTGTGATGGACTGGAGGCCTGTCCAGGGTGTCCCCTGCGTCTCACACAGTGACTGCTGGACATGGACACCAGTGACCACCACAAACAGAAAAGGAAGAAGTAGGTAAAAGATAACAGATGCAGGATGCAGTTTTAATGAAATCCAATGTGCAAGACTAGCAAATTTCTATTAATTATTTTTTTACTTACTAATTGTAATTTTTGTTTCCATTGTACATCTTGACTAGAAATTACGATTATTTTCCACTTATTGTTAAATAAATATAAACATTTTCAGACCTAGCATTCCTTGAAGCAATGCTTCCCCTGCCTTTCCTGCCAGAGTTTTAGAAAAAGCTCATCCATGTTTACAAATGACAAGAGTTAGACATTTTGGTGAATTATATATGAAAAATTGACTATGTGTTTTGTGATATCACAGGGTGTCAAACAAGGATGATAATGTTTGGAGTATATGTTGTAAAAGACTCACCTACTACCACATCAAAGTTTAGTCTAAGGTTGTTTTCACACCAGATAGTCCAGTAGACTCGGTTCGGTTGGGGACCAATATTCATGACATTTTGTTTACATTTGAGCTGGTGTGTTTGCATTCACACTGCACTGTGCAGTCGAACAAACCTGTTGAACCAACCTATTCCCCCACTCGCCTGGGGTGGTGCTGCACCAAGAACTACTGAAAGAAATATCCTGATGCATGCTCAATAATCCAGGTAGAAAAATCTAAAAAAGTTAAATCTGGTCCTCTGGACATTAAAAAAAAAACAAAACCAAGCAAACCAACAAAAAAATGTAGAAACGTTTCGTCTCTCATCCGAGAGACTTCCTCAGTCTGAGGTGCTGTATTCAGCTCAGTCTTTTAAATAGCACCTTCTCAGAGTGGATCAACCAGTTTGCTGCTGACAACCAAAACCAGCTGATCACATGGTCAAGAAGGACCATCAGCCTAACAATGGATCATTAGCACACTGATGGCTGTTTACTATTCACAGAGGGCTGAGTGATACTAGCAATCACAGCATTGTAAGAGGGGGACAATTGAACACGTAGGCCTCCACCCCTGTTTAACGATGGATGATTTCTTTTCACAAAGATGGCCTCCTTTACTCCTCTCTCAAACCATCGTTCCTCTCTATTCAGGATGTGCACATCTTCATCCCTGAAAGAGTGACCGCTGGCCTGGAGATGAGTGTAGACCACAGAGTCCTGGCCTGATGATGTTGATCTTCTGTGCACAGGCTGATGGTCCTTCTTGAGCATGTGATCAGCTGGTTTTGGTTGTCAGCAGAAAAACTGGTTGATCCAATCTGAGAAGGTGCTATTTAAGAGACTGAGCTGAATACAGCACCTCAGACTGAGGAAGTCTCTCGGATGAGAGACGAAACGTTTCTATGTTTTTTTTGTTGGTTTGCTTTGTTTGTTTTTTTTTGAATGTCCAGAGGACCAGATTTAACTTTATTAGATACTGAAAGAAACTACACAAAATCCTCTGAAGACACTTCTTCTTCTGGAAATAAAAACAAAAACGGAGTGGGGTCAAATTTTAGCGGTTTTAGGAGTTATATTTTGTCATTTTTCAAAAATGGACTCAGCATGAGCAGAAGATGAGACAGAAGACCATGGAGAATATTGTTTTTCACAAGGCAGCTGACGGCTCCATATGAGGTCAGAGAAATGCGTGTTTGTTTGTCCTGCGCTGTACTCCACTTCTTGCTTGTGGAGCGGGGCCCGGTCTGTTTACATTCACACTGTACTCGAACCGCGCTGGAGTTTTCTTCTACCGGACCAAAACCTAGGTTTTAGACCGGGCCAGAGTTCGCCTTTTTGTTCCGTGACAGAGTTCGACGGCGCGTTCACACCTCCCCAAATGAACCGGACTTCCTAGGCAAACGGGCTAGAGTTCAGGACAACAGGGCAGGTGTGAATGCATCCTAATATCAGTAAATTTAAGTGTAATAGTCATTGTTGTGTTAGCTTTGGTCAATTAGTTGTGGTGGCCATCTTGAATTTAGTTAATCAGCTGTAGCTATTCATCCAATGATGACTTTTGAGACTTTCATTAGAATCTGTCCAATGGTTATTGAGATTTTTGCCAACAGGAAACTGAAAGAAACACACAAGAACCATAAAATACTCCCTTTTTCTGGCAAGGGATTATAAATTATAGAAATAAAGTGACTCACACAAGGTCTCACATGTTTAATCTTTCCAGGTTCCGCTAAATTCTTTATGTTTCTCATTCACCCATTCACACACATATGTACACGCATACAAGCGTGTGCACACAGTAATTTCTACTTTGTGTTTTACATTATACTAGGGCTATTCAACTAAACTGCTCAGGGGGCCACAGTTTCTGAAAACCAGCAGCTCAGGGGTCAGACATCCAGAGATTAAAGTCTTTATGTAAATAAACCAAGTATTACAATTACCCGTTACCTTTAAAATGGGTTTGTTTTATTGCATTGAATCATAAATGCAATAATCAGAACCCAAAACCCAAACCCAGAACACCCTCCCCCACCCCCCACCCCCACCAAAAAATAAAATAAAAAATAATTAAATGAACTCATTGGTGGGCTGGACTGAAGTCACCTGTGGGCTGAAGTGGCCCGTGGGCCACCAGTTGAATAACCCTGCACTATAAATTTTTAAATCTTTGCTTAAAACCCTTGGTGTTCTGAAATCCAACAGATTTTATGTTCAGTTTTATTTGAGCTTTTACTTGTTTTCTTAAATATTTTCTATGTCATTGCTTTTATTGTTGTCTATTTTTTGTTAGGCTGAATTAAAAAGCAATTTGGTCAACTTATGTTTATTAATGTACTATAGAAAAAAGAAACCATCAGTGAAATCTAAAACAGCACGTTTATACTTTTGCACATGCATCAATAAATTTACCAGGGGCAGCAATGAGTTCATAGTTTGGCCAAAAGCACTTTGGCATGTTGGTCCTCAGATTGAAGACAACCTCTCTACTACTAGGCCAAATGACAACGGGAGTAAATACGTGTGGACTGAGAGCAGCAATGTTTCTAACGGCTAACCAACATTTCATCGTAACATGTCCACTGTGTGGAAGTATTTTACACTAAACACCGCAAGACAGCAACGTGCAATGTCTGCAGAGCCGCTGTACCAAGAGGAAGCTCGGTCGCGCCCTACAATACATTGAACTTAAAAACCATTTGAAAAAGCAAAACATTAAAGTGCACGAGGATTGTTTAGCCAGGCACCGCGGTAAAGCTAGTCTTACGTTGGACGTTCGAGCTCCGTGGCTTCAGCGGTGTTTATCTCTCGTTCATTCCGAAGCAGACCGTCTGATTTTGGTCAGCCGAGCTCAGTCTGCCCGTCTCGGAGGAGGAGCAGACCGAGAGTGGCTGACCGAAATCAGACGGTCTGCTTCGCAGCTTGATTGAATATTTGGAGCCAAGATATAGTTTACGTTTACTCTCCAGGAGATATTTATCAGTACAACAGTAGACAATCATAAAAAATAAAAAAAATAAATAAAAACATGAATTGGAAAATAAAATTATATTTAAAAAGAACAAAAACAGCTACCGGTACATTATAAAGAGATGTAAAATACTAAAAACAGGAACATGTCTTTGTTGGTTTTTGCCATGAACTTAGCAGATGATTGAAGCCATTCAATCACTTTAATATCCATGTCGGCATATTGTTTTTATGCTTAGTGTATATTTAGTTGACATTTTTCTTAGTTCATATCTTAGATCTTATTGCTGTTTTTCTTTTACATTTTATTGTGTGATGTAACTGGGCCCTTTGTACATAATCTCGTTCCACCACACATGTGGTGTGTATGACAATTAAACTCTGACTCTGACTTTAAAGCTAGGAATTAAAAACATGTTTTGTGTTAGTAGAATTCTAACTTTGAAACTTATCAAACATTAATAAAAAAACTTACCTCAAGTTGCCTTTTTCGACATGCATGTATATATTTGTACAAATTGTACTTGCCTGTAGAGAGGAGATTATTACAGCCTCATATATAAAATCAATAATGATGATGGTATCGGAATAGTATCCTTATCGGCCGATATCCAGATTTAGGTATCAGGATCGAAAGTAAAAAAAAGTGGGTCGGTGCATCCCTATCCAAAACCATTCTTTGTTTGTGTTATTTTAGTTAAAATTATAACTCTTTAAATTGGTCCACAGTTATCTGATGGGAACATAATCAAGCATATGCAGGCTGCACCCTCACATTATGACTGATGCACTGGGACTCACAATTTGTTTAAGCAAATTAGGCAAATTGTGCGAGTCCAGTTTTGGAGCAATTTAAAACCAGTTTTTAACGTTTGCAAGCATGGCCATGCAGATAAACCAACATTTTACTGGTAAACTCACGTGTAGGTGATTTTCCTGGTGCTCCAGAAACAAGTGGACCGTGGCTGTAGGATGTCAGGCTCTCTCTCCGTTGGCCAGATTTGACATTTCCATAGTACCGGTTGACTAAAATCTGTCGCAGAGCCTCGCCCTATTGGGGGGGGGGGGGGGGGGAATACTGTAATCAATAAAGTCAAAAAGCTGTCATAGAAACTTATGAGAAAGTCAAAATTACTGTGCATAAGTTTATGAAATGTATGCATAAATTACACTCAGTTTGATGAATTCCACATGGTGAAAATTCACAACAAACCCCACAAAGAAGGTAAAAGATAAAAAGTAACAAGGTTAAAGACAGTTTTTTTGTTTGATTCTATTTAAATAAACAAAATTATCAGCTCATGATTTAAAGTTTTCATAACACAAAAAACATTTACTGTATTTGACCAACCTGCTCATGTGTTTTCAAAGATGTTTTAGATGATTATAATACAAATCACAGAAAAAAGAAACCAACAAGTGTCAGACGTATAGAAATAAAAAGACTTAGAAGTACAAAAACAAAACACAGGATCCTGTCAACATCTGGCTACATTCAACACTGCTCTGGGCTAGTTTTGCAGAATTTTACAGGAGTGCACGATTTATTCACATCGCACCCCAGCCATCAATGAGGAGATGAGACAGAGTGAAAGTCCTCCTGCTGAGCCTCCTCACAGGTAATTTAACGTGTCAGGGAGTGAGGGAGGGCCATGCTGTGGAAGCTGTGTGACTGTGAGGGCCTCACAACAGTTAGTACGGGGGGGGGGGGGAGATCTCGACCAGACCACAGCAAACACATTACCTACCCTCCTTTGATCCTCCACTTGCTTCAGTGGCTGGTTGGGATCAAGCTCCTTAAAGGCGATGTGAGTTAGCAGAAAGCATTGAAATAAGAAGAATAAATGAAAAGAATGAAAGAAAAGTTTGGAAAGGAAAAGTTTGGAAAGTAATAAGAGAACAAAGGGTGTTAATACAGTGCACATTAGTTACTTTAAGAGCATGCAGGAAACAGGGTGCAGATTCGATCATGCAGTTAAGAGGGAAGTGGTTGTGTCAGGAAAGATGTGAGGTTGACTCAAAGTCATGCACGGTTTCATGCAAGGGACGACCGCTGCTCATTCTGAAGCACTCAACATCTGCAGTGCTCTCACGGGCAGCTTGAAGCAGTGAAAAATCCACAGCATCATACCCTTTAAATTCACGTTATAAAAGCTCTAAAGGATTCTGTGTCCACAGTCAACTTGGAGGGGAAAATGTGCAACTTTGATGGGTTGTTGCAACTCCCTGTTTGCTTTACATATTGTTACAATCTCAAAATAAAATTTACATGAAAATATGCCAAAAGCAAGTAATCATAAACCATGAGGAAGAAGAACAACAGCCAGACTATATAACAGAGCTGTGAGCTCTAAGGACACACACTCAGAGCCAGTATGGCCTGGAAAAATGTGTTGCTCATGACTTTAAACCCACACCTCCTTGAACAAGGAGCAGGAAACTGGAGTTTTCACAAAGACTAAAAGACTGGTATAGCTTCAAGGGAAAAGGGAGTGGAAAAAGGTGAATACATGAGGAAGAACAGGGATTCTTATCTAAATATAGACATGTCCAACAATGAGCACAATTACAAAATGAAGGGTGTATAAAGAGGACGAGTGCTCTTTGATCAGCAATGACCCGTGTTAGTGGGCGTCATGGGTTTAGAAAACACACCTCAGCAGGAACTTCAGGCTCAGGTGGCGGTGCCAGCTGATTGGAGATAAAAGGATGAGGTTAGTTTAGGTTGGAAGGAGTTCGATTTCTTGATCTGCTAAGTCTGTAAACTGCAGCACCCTTTAAAATCTACCCATCTCCTGATCCACAACAGGCTCTTATACTGCTCACCAACATGCAGAACTGGACATGTGCCACTTAAAGCCATGAGCAAATGAAAACATTTATGTTAATAGCTCTTATGGAGATTGATAATGACAAAATATGGATAAGCAGCAATAACCTGTTGCAGCAGGAAAGTGGAAACTCTGTGTAGAAAAAAAAAAAAATTCTGTCTTCACCTCAAAGCCCCTGGTTACAACGCAACACTGTGACATGTTTAGTTCTCAGCTTCATTTTCAACCTCATGCTACCATGTGATGCTCCTCATCCCTGACATGACAGTGCTTTACATGCCATAAGAAAAACGTCAGCAAAGTCAGCACATTTATTTTATATTTGCTGCTTTTGTGCAAAATCTGCACAAGAAAAATGTAGAAGCTAAAGTATTTTTTTGTTCTAGTAAAACAAAAAGTTATTTATCAGGGGAAGGCAGATGAGTTGAGCTAACACTGTTATTGCCAAAAAAGAAAAAAAAGAAAAGAGTGTGAATCAATTCTCTGAATGCTATAGACTGTACGGTTATTTTTTGCACAAATATTCAAACCTGTCCAAAAGAAATGTTTATATAAAAATGTCATTAAAGCATCACAACTTAGTGAAGAATCTTGCTTTAAATTTATTTTGTACACATAAAAATAAAGGGTAAAGATTTTGACATAGAAACTACATTTTTAAAGGGAAAATAGAATTTAGAAGAAAAACAAGTCAATGATCCTTCTAAAGTTAAAATAATTAGCTCTGGAATTATTAGTCCCTCTCTGGGTTCACGAGTCTTCTTGTTATTCTGCAGCTGCAGAGTAAATGACAGCAAGCTAGCCAAAATCTTACAAGTAACAAGTCAAGTGCAGCAATCCATTTATTCTTTTCCTTTTGCCAAGACGGAATTTCAGAACAGAGGATTATATATCCAAGCTCAAACAATTCTCTAAACTGGATTTTCAGTGGAAGCAGGAGAGGGTAATGAAAAAAAGACCAACGCCAGATCTGAGAGGTTTCCTTCAGACCTCGGACAGAAGATTACCTGCTATTTTCAAATAAAGTGGACTGATCAAGGGCGCCTTTCTTCCCTGGCAGTGATCTCCATTGAGACAAAGACTTTTAAAACTTTAGGAAAATACAGAAGACTTCTACAAAAACGTAATGGACATTTATGTCCAGAAGGATTGGAGCATGGACTTCATTTATAAGTAAAAGCAAGACCATAATAATGTTTTTTTTTTATTTTTCCTTTTTTTCTTTAATGAAATGCATGTCAAGTGCGCTATAGTTTGTGTGTGTAAAGAACGCTATGATATGAAACAACCTGTTAACTGCTGCCAGTCAAACCTCTGTAGGGTTCATATATTGGCAAATCTGATTCTGATGGAGTTTTGCATCTTCTTTTCAAGGCAACATCAGTAATCAAAACATTTGTTTATAGGCAAAACTGAGAACTTCAGCAAATGCATGGTTTATAATGACAGAAAAAGAATTGAAGGAAAAGGGAAATAACATTATGCAACATTAACAATGCAAGTCTGAGTTGTACCAAGTCCTTCATGCTACCATGCCTCCTTAAAATGTGCTGTAAATGAAGGTGCATCACTGCTAATGTCTTCCGTCAGCTGCACTGCACTTCTAATGCTTCAAGGGCAGCTGTGCCGCAGTGGTTAGAGCAGTTGCCTTCCATTGAAAAAGTCAGAGGTTCAGATCCATCAGTATGCAGATACATGTTGACATGTCCCTGAGCAAGACTGAACCACTCTTTGCCTCATGTGTCCCATCAGTTGTGAAGTGCCTTGAATAGACTGGCTGGCTAGAAAGGTGTTAGAAAGTACAGTCCACTTACCATTTATCGCTAACTGCCACTGAGGGTTACACATCAGTGGGGAATAAGAAATACATGAAGGGGTTGGGAAACAAAAACTGTTGTCTTGTTTGTAATTGCTGCTTGAGAGCTGGATGGAGCCCAACAATCATGCAGCACTAAGTTAGAAGAAACTGGCTTTGAGCCTCACATTGTTGAAGTGTCTGCAGCTCCCCCTGTTGAGCACAAACAAAGACTGCAGCCATGAAAGAACCAACTTCATGCAGAAATGACCAGGATAAATGAGGACAAGAGGATGTGGGAACTAAAACTGCCAACTAAAAAACGTCTGCTGCTGTGACTTTCTGCATCACAAATTCAGTTTATATAACTTCTACTGGGAAACTGAAATCAGTGTAAATATGTCAAAAATACCAGTTGAATGAAAAGGAAATGAAAAAAATTGAGATTGGAAATGTTTTAAGACGGCAGCAATCCATTTTGATTTTGTACAAATTAACCATTAGTACATCAATACCGTCAGCCTTAAACTATCTCTCCAAACTCAGGCTATTCAAAGAATTATCTAAAAGTCAACGATTAAAAGTGAACTCTTCACCACTCTTCCACAAAACCCCCACTTCAAAAACGCTGGAATAGCTCTTTAAGCTAAACATAACATCCCCTGCTCATTACTTGAAACGTCCCAGCCTCTGAAACAAAGCTGTGAGTTGGAGGTAAACAGAAACACATGCAGTGATTCATCTGACAATGGCCAGGCAATGAACCTCAGTGTCTGCATCTTCCCTGGCTTGCATGTCATCACGTTTCTATTGCTGGAAAAATCAAATGCTAGTGCAGGTGAAAAGTCATTCTGCTTCATCTGTATGTAAAATCCAGCCCACGCAGTGGGCATTAAGCAACAGGAGGTGTGATGAGTCTGCCAGACAGTAGTGAAACTAACAGCTGCACTCGCTTCTAATGCTCTTTGGCTGGGTGTTTTCAGTGAGAAGGTGTTTAATATGATGGGTTAGAGAGCAGCATCAGGCTGAACCGTTGGGTTATGTAACAAATCCAAGGACAGTTTGGGGGGAGAGTTCTGTCCTACCTGTCCCATGGTGCTAAACATGCTGCTATCAGTCTGATTGTTGCATGCTGCAGTTAATGTGAGCATGTGATGTGTATGACTGAGCGACACCGAGCATGTGCTGGGGATAAGTTAACATTCTTAAGTTACTGCAGAGTTGTTGAAACAAAAGGCTCCCGCTGATAGAATGGTCCTATTTTTTGTGGAAGCTGGGGCTTTCCAATGCTTCAGTACCAAACAGCAAGTAAAAGAAATGAGGGATAAAGGGAACACAAGACAGACACGTAACAGAGAAACAGAGCACGTTGCTTCCTGCAACTCTGGAAAAACCCTTTCCTTCTAATTCTCTCCATTTCCTCAC